AGTGGGGCCGCGTGGTGGACTATGCCCTGATACCCTCTGTATATATGTTTGCTGTATGTTTTTACTTTTACTGTTGTATATGCTCTGAATTTTATACTTCTTGGATTCCAACAAGAACCTATTATTATTAGTGAGGTTTTGGTTTATTTTTTTCGTGTTTACGAGCGCCCTGTGAGCTACAAAATAGCGACAAACTTTGGAAAATCTGGTCTGCAAGGTCAACCGTTTGGCAGTTTTAAAAAAACATCAAAATCCCGTTTATTTTAAACGAAATTTGACAGAATGGACCTGGCAACACTAGATATAATGTCATCTTTTTTAGAATATCAGTTATCTTATCAGTAACACTAACTTTATTTTTAGTATTGAAAATATTTTACTTACGTTTAACACTCACTTATGTACAGTTTATTAGTAATTGAATTATATCGGCTCCTAGTTCTAAACTGCACATAATAACAGCAACAGGTTTTTAAAAAGTTAAAAATAATGTAGACCGGTTATTCGGCTTAAGGCTTTTATATTGATATAAAGAATGTTATGTTATTTCACGTTAGTTGTAAATGTAAAGGATAAACCATGTTCGTGATATCCATAAGGAAGGTTGCTAAGTTAATATTGTAACTCGTATGGTAAATTATAAGTTTGTAAGGATAGGATACATGAGATCCGACAAATAATTTTAGGTTATGTCACTGCACTGTTGTACAAACCACTTTTGACGTTCACTGTCGATTTGTACTGGACAAAAGTCGTAAGCATACTGCCATGTTTATTAGTGATCACTAATGTTGAAGTAATGCGTCACTTCTTTTTGCAATTGCCTTGCCTACAGGAAATCTAATATTTTTTTTCTATTAATCCATTAAAACGCTAAATAAAAAAAGTAATAAAAAATTGTTTAATTTACCTTAGACCTTATTTATTTATTAGATAAATTCAGGCATAGATAAATTAAAATAATCATATTATAACCTAATAAACTCGTCACTAGAGACTTTAAAGTTTAGAACCGGAGATGAATTCTTATTTTATAATCAATGTATCTTGGTACTTAAACTTTTCTGGACCACCTAAAGGTTGACTGGTAGATAATGTTGACTGCATTAAAGAGGCGAACTCTTTACATAATATTGTTATGCCTAAAGAGTACATCAATGAATGAATGAATGAATTTTGAAATATTAGAAGAAGGTTTCTCTTACTCCCATAGTAATGCACAAAGTAGGATCTTTTATGTTTTTAACATGATTAAAGGGAAAAAAACCTTAAATAAAACTCATGATTTATACAACAAATAAATATATTTTCCATTAAGTTCCATGTATAAATTTTAAAATTACCTTTTAAATAACATCCATGACAACAATATCTCAATAAGTTACTTTACAATGTTTTTGAAAGTTGAAAACTGGAAATCACAATGTTCCTATATACTTTATATAATATTAAGTTACAATTTTTCATTCTATAATCGTAAAATTTATTAATATGTGTATATGGTATACAATAATTTCATAATTTGGTACAATTAATGCAGTTACTTTGGCTAACATTACATAGATTTCTTTCTAGTTCCTATTATTTACATCAAAAAGATGGTCTGTGCGGCGAGTTCACTATTCGACAACGAACACTCGTTACTTAAAGAAAGTCATTTTGTTTAAGGATTCGTATTACACTCCACTATTACTAAAAACATCGAACAATGGTCCACAATGACTTTGAAACTTATTCATAAAGAACATTTACATCACTCCATAATTTTTATTTTCACGAAAAATAGTATAATAAAATAAAGTTCAAATAATATATTTGATGGAAAAGCGATAGTGCGGCCATGAAAAGTACATTTTGAACGTTAAAACGTAAACGTAAACTTTTCTAAGAACGCTTAAGAAACTCCTTTAAAATTTGTACCGTAATTAATTCGCCCCAAAATCAGTTCACCCTTTAATGCATAGCGGCGTAAAATTAACTTGTCATTTTGTATTAAACGTCACTTTCTTATATTTTTTGCACGTAATAAAATGTATTCGGATTCCATTGTGCAAATTTTTGGGTTTAAAATCTTTAATTAATTTTTGTTACGCCGAAAAGTTTTTTGTTTTCAGTGTAAACTTGAATATAAGGGAGAAATTTATTTTTAATAATACCTAATATCTCTGTTAATTAGCTTTTCTCGGGCCGTAATAGCTTTTCCCAAGTACATAAGGGACGGTGTTAACCTAGTTAACATAAATAAATGTCTTTTGGTTGAGAACAATATGCTCAGATTGCATTTGATGGCAACATTATTCCGAAACACAGTCAAGAGACGATGAATAATGGACGAGATGAATTACGGCAAATTAAACCATTGCCTCAATAATGGTGATATTTTGACGGTGAAATTTCTTTAGACTGTTTTGGTATCAGATGCAGTACGCAGTCTAAGCTGTCGACGAATAAAACGCTATACAATAATGTCTTGTATCAAATACACATTAAACAGGTCTGGATAGGTTGTGCGTTTTTTACGAAAATACCAGACTATTTTTTTTTCTTAAATAAACTAGCATTCTTTGGCATTAACACACGCATAGGAACACACGCATGCGACGCGTTTGAATCAGAAATAATTTGATAATTTATTTAAATAAATATTTTTTATTTTGTTCACGTCAGTCAGTTAAGTCATCATAATTTTATTTTCTCGCAATGTCAAACCAACGTTCCTAGGAACTTTCCACAATTTTCTTGGAATCTTCTATTAAAGTAGCAATACTGATTCAGAGTTTTCCCAGTTGACGCATTTAACACCCCCACATAAATAGACAAAATTTGTAATTCCTTGGGCGCTATTACTAAAACTAAGTGTTTACTTTATTTATAATATATCTTACTTAAAAAATTATGTTGGTTATTGGAAATTTTTCAAATTTCATTACCACTTCTCGGACTAACTGTAAGTCAGTAAATGGATATAGAGCCCTTCATATATTTCATAGAGAATGTAAGTTTAGAAACCAGTCACTACGACTTAATAAGCTTTGCTATGTTAAATTATGAACAATACAATAGCCCGGCTCTTTAATTATCACAAAGAAATATTTAAGTGAATAATATAATTGATAGATCGAAGGAAAAGTTAGGAAAACACAATTACAGTTTCTAATGTAATGTACGAACTCCACTTTTACACATAAACCAATATATAGAACATCATTATCTAAAACCAACATCAAATACAAAAATGACAATTATTAATAGTAGGTTTCAAATATATCGTAATAGGATCCCATACTTTACTTATAAAAAGAGAAAGTGTCGAATGACTAAAGGAAGAGCGGCAAGGAAGTGAATACAATACATATTGATCAGCGATTATTGGCACATATGATTAGGTACATGACATTTAACATTATGACGTAAATACAAAGGAATACACGTTAAAAAATATACACATATATAAATACACAATTTTAAAAACTGTAAATATTAAATATATCGCGATTCAAAATCGCAATCAATTTATAGCGGTACGAACAGAATTATACAAATATATCTAAGATCTAATTTACATGAATAATGGTGTATTCGGTTCCACCTTTTTAATTTTCTTCCGATTGTTTTATTTACGCGGTTACGTGATTTTAATAGAATGATGTATTATGGGGCTAATATTGAAATATTATCTCTAAAACATCGAGTCTTATCACTAAATCTTTAGGGATGTATCGTTATCGTCAAAAACTATTTATATGATATCTCCAATTAATTACGTTTCTAACGATTATTAATAATAAAAAGGTGAAAAACTTATTATAATTGCGCTTTTAACACGCATAAGCTAGACTGCGTCTCCGTACGGTTGCATTGAATATATTTCCTTGATAATATCTTCAGCGAGATGCTCTGTGTCAAATTATTATCTATCGAAATTCCGTCGCGTTATAAATGCTATAATGGACGGGCGTCTTAGCCTTATCTTAGGATGTAATTCCTTTTACCAATGTTCACGTAAATTAAAACTCAGATCGGATCTAGCACATACTAATGCACTGGAATCTACATACGCCTAACAACATCTAGATTTTACAAATACGAACATCAAAATATTAAATAAATATTATTCTTTAAATGTATAACTTACATAAAATACGTAATAGGTCCTAAGCCTTCGATTTGCTAAGCGACGTATTAAACAGACATGTTTTTTGAACTGTTACATTTGACATGTCTTATTAACACATTTCCGTTTAACATTTCCGCTTTAGACCAATACACGGTTTTTAAAGCATATCAGGGAAATAAAAGCTTTTAATTGTACTACCATACCACATTAAATCTTCATATCTCGTACAATTAAATCTGATCGCTTTACAGGCGATTGGAGATAAAGCTACCATAGTTTTTATTATTAATGATTACTATTTTTCATGTTTCGATCCACATATCACACTGAACATTTTCATTGAACATAGTCAGTGTGCATATGATCGCCGATCGTACAAGTTTATCGATATAATATTATGACCCTGTGTCAGTCGTGGACAGCGATCAAGGCGTCCACGGCGAGCATTTAGATCGATTTCTATCTACGACATTTAGAATCTACGCTCTACATACATAGTTATAATAGGCGATGCCTATTAAACTATTCCTAAACACTATCAAACTTACATTATTACATCATGCCCATATATGTATGAAGTTATTTCATTCTAAAAAAGTTACAATTTAGAAATTTTGGCAGTTACGGTTTAGTCTAGGGGCGAAGACTAAGTATACTGGTGGTTCACAAAAGTCTCTCTCGATTGTTTATAAGTTGTACGGAGTCCGCTAAGCTATATACCTACACTGGACCCTCTTCCTAACTTGCGAGTGTCTGATCCATCGAACAGTGACCGTAGCTCGGGGATCGCATCAGCGGGCGCGCGGCGACGGAAAGGCACGGCGTGTGAGGCGCGACAGCGGCTGCGGCGCGGTATGGACACCAGCGCCGCCGCGCGCCATCAGAGCGGGAAGCAGCGGCCGGTGCGGCGCGGCTCGCTGGCGCCCCGCCTCCGCCGCGAAGCGCCCGCCACCTCCGACCGCGTGATCTCCGCCTCGCCCTCGCTGCCCCCCGCGCCGCCGCACAGCCGCTCCGGCTCGATCGGCTCGAGCTTGTGCATCGACGGCCTGCTCGACAATCGCGCGCTCCCCGCCGCCGGGGTGGACGCCGGACGCTCCGGTGCCCCGTCCAAATCTATTCGACCGAGTTTCAGAGCGAGCGCGTACTCGGAACGCTCGATCACACTGGGCGGCTCCTCGGTGACGGTCGACTCCGCGAAAGTCGAGCCGGCTGCAGCAGAGTCGGCTCGGGATTCCCCCACCACTGTTAGATAGCGACGCGTGCCCGTGGAAGATGGCGAGATGTCGTGGGCTCGGCGCTCCGGCGTCGCGAACACCGAGTCGGAGGCCCAGCTACGAGATTCCGACGTTTGACGGAAGGTGTCGTCTACGCTGCGCTGCGATGTGCGGCGGCTCGCACGCGGACTCTCATCATCGATTGGGCGAAAATCTAGGGCGCTTAAATCGAATGGACCGACTTTACGTCTCGATCCGTCCCGGCGGAAAGAAGGTCTGTGAGATGTAAAGGCTGCGTCGTACAATTCACAAATGCTCGTACGATCAGAATGGGGCTCTTCATAAAGAGTCAGGTTCCGCGTTTCTGTGGCATCAGACGGGGTTTCGTCGTGGTTTGACGTAGTGACTTCACTTCTTTCCGATATGTCAAACGTAAAACGTGCTTCAAATCTGTCTGGACTAAGCAAAGGAGCGGACCTAGAGCAAGCGTCAGAAGTCTGCGATTGTCCAAGAGGCAAAGAACGTAGGCCTGCTTGGCGTGGCGATGTCTCATCAGATTCCGCAGAACGTTCAGAGCGAGGGGCGCGATATATCTGACGTCGTGTTAGGGCGGGCTGTGAACCACATGGCATTCTTCTGCAACATGTGCGTTCGTGTCGCACGTCCGAGCCACTGCTCCCCGTTGATTTTGAATGCGCCGGACGCCGGCGTCGATCGTCCTCGTGTCCATACAGCGAAGTGAAGTCCGCGGAACAAAACTTTTCAAAAAGCTCCTGTGAGCTAAGCCGCGTCGAACCGGTCGCGTTATAAAAAGCCTCAGTCGGCGACCTGTCAGTCCGTTCGTAAAGTGCACTAGAGCTAGCTCGCTTAGACCTATCTATTAAACCTAACTTATATATCCTCGGCAGCCGGCGCTCAAACACACCTTGGGAGTGAGCCCGGGCAGGCCCACGAGCAAATGCACCGTCCCTCCGTTCAAGCACACGATCCGCGGAGGCGCCGCGCACGTGCGGGTGCGTCTTCGCCAGCGGCTCCGTGGGCGGGGAGGCGACGAACTCTGGTTCGTATTCGTCTTCGTCTTCTTGCGTTTCGGCGGAGGGCCCCGAGCGCTCGAAGGATCTGCGGCCACACTCACACTCCTCGTCGTGGTCGTCGCTAGCGTCGCCCTCGTCGAAGGAGGGCGCGCGGGGACCGTGGCCGAACACGCGGCGGCGCTCTTCCGCGGCGCCTTCGTCGTCCTCAAGGCGTATAGAGCGCCGCAGCGGCGGCCGGTCTCGACGTGGTCGGCGAGGCGCTTCCATGGTGGAAGCGTGCGGCAGGGGCGGGCGAGAGGGCGCGGGCAGCAGACGGTCGAGCGACAAGCCGCGACGGGGCCGTGGCGGCCGCTGCTGCCGCTTCTCACGAGCCCCCGCGGTGGGACTAGTCTCCTCCGGCGTGCTCGGCAGCGCCGCGCCGCGCCCGAACTCGATGAACCAGAGTTCGTCTTTTAGTTCGCACTCTCACTTTTTCTCGTTCATATCCTTATTTAAATAGTGCAACACGTAATGCAGAACAAGATCGTAGCAGTACTTGTATTCGGTCTGGAAAGGGCGAGAGAAGAAATTTACGTCAATAATTGAAGCTAAAAAAACAAGCGAGCTACTGTAGTAAAAAAAAATCAGATATTCATAAGTCAATGTTTGCTCTTCAATTGTTAGTGAATGACAAGTATCAAGCACGTCACAATTTTTGTTAGGAGTGAAGCCAACGGTGTAGGCAACACATTTCGTTTTTAGGTTTCCGAGAGACGTTCAAGATTAATTTTACGTCCAGTTAGAAAAAAATATTAAGCTCACCATGTTCTCGACGAGCTGCGGCCGATGGCGTCGCACCGTTTTGACGGCTTGAAATACATCGACTTCACCGTGTTGAATAACTTGCTCGATACAAGCGTTTGCCGCGCAATACACGCCCGCGCGACTTCTCCCGTCTCTGTATAAAAACAATCAAGAATGACATAAATATGCAACTAGAACAAACTATATTTAATAGACATGACAGAACGTTTACACGATTTGAATATACTAGAACAAACTATTTAGCCCTTCGCTGTCACACTTTACGAAGCTTATTAAGCCAAGAGGTTTTATCTCTGTACACGTGGAACAAACATGACAGAACGTTTACTATTTGTTGAGTGGGTAACTTCCACAAATTCGAAAACAAGGCCAATTGATGGCGCTAAGCAGTGCCAAAAATGGCGAATGGGATAAGTTCACAGCCACTCACCCTAATGAGCTTGACGGTACATATACAGACTGTACGTGAGTTTAGTCGTTTTATTATTGCGTTAACGATTATTCCGTTTAATAATTTTATGTCCGGCTACTTATCATTTGTTATATTTCTTCTCCATCCTTAGGTTGTGACAAGTATTGTAAGAATAAATTAACGTACGGCGATACGACGCAGACGGGGCCATAGTCGGTGCGCTGCCGCCACCTCTCGACCATGTTCATAAGCTCGACAAGGGAGTTGGTCGACGACGGAACCTTGTGACCCATCGGCCAGCACGTCAGCTGGAACAGTTGCACCGTTTTCGGAGGGGCCTTTACGCCGGCCATGAGCTCCGTTAGCGAAACGATCTGTAACGTAAAAGATCAATGAATCCGTTCATTAATTATAAGTAGAATTATTATAGAGTAGTGTCATGCAACAGTCTTAGCTGTTGTACGAATGGGCAAGTTCGTTCTTAAGTAACAATATCAATGAGCGGTGGTTATCACTTAAAATCAGGTGAACCGCCAGCTCGCTTGCCACTGTAATTTAAAAATAAATTGGTGTGAAAACTTCAATATTTTAATTCACCTTGGAAAAATTGTACTATGTTTGTCTAATTACATAATTATACATTATATACAGTTCTTTAAATTATATGTTGACGATATCTCTTTAAAGTTTAATGTTACCTTTTTGTTGATTCTGAATATCCAAGTTTTGATATTTGTGTAATGATTATGTGATACATGGTCAATAGTGAACACTGGACCGTATTTCTTAGAATGTCTTCCTTCGGGCCAAAAAGGCGGATATTGTTGCTGAAATATTATGATTCACTTTAAAATGTATTACGAATTATTTCAAAAGCATATAATTTATTTATTTATTCTTTATTGAAAACACCTCAAAAAGGGTTAAAAAAGGGCGAACTTAATGCCTATTGGCATTCTCTACCAGTCAACGCGAGGCGTGAGGAGAAATCGTGGTAGGTGCAATAAATAAAATTGCAATATGAATTTATGTGACTAATAATGTCAAATATAAATGGAAAATGAGACAAAATACAGATTCAGTGGATACATAAACTGTTGATAATTATTTCATGTTTCTGTATACGTACAGAGTTTTTGGGTGGAACGCATAATACAACAACTGCGGCACACTCGTAATCGTAAACGAGGGACCAAAACTCTCCTTGAGTTCGTATTAAAGGCCATTCCGTAACTATGTACTCTCGCGGTTTTGTGTAACCCTGAAAAGTTGTAAAATTAATTTATCACCCTAAATTCAAAACTATCCAAATCAAAACGAGCTTTTTTGATACTTGCATCTACGAATACCGCGTTGATATAGTCAGTGAAACTGTTCCCTTGGAAGGACGTTAGGTACGGGCGAAAATTGTCAGCTGAAAAAAAATAGGAGTTTATAATTTTAACCCGTTAGTACAAGGCGTAGTTCACGGCACCGCTCGCATGGATTCAGATTAATTTGTGGCCTAAGCACGCTAATGCTTTAACCTATACGATCTGTGCGTCTTTTCGGGATATAGAGCAACCTACGTATATTTCGTGGTAGGACCACGCAGTAGCTTCTATTGTTGCATGAGTGGCCAAGCGCGTCCGTGGAAGTATCACGGCCTCAGAAAAAACCGGAGTGACGTGAAAACATTATACATTCGGAATTTTATCACTAGTATTTTGTTTTATCGCAATAAATTTTTTCCATTATTTCCTTCACCGCTGAGCGCGTGATAACTGATAACTTAAAATTTGTAAATTTGTAACTTAAAATTGCATCGTAATCTTGACCGATTCCATTTGATTATTTGAACTCAGATTGCTCTACTATATTAAAACAAAAGCAAACATGTTCGGGACATTGAGCTATCATGGCTCTTAGCTATTCACACTCTATAGAATATAATATTCCAAACGAATAGTAATGTTTTAACATGTAGTGACTTACGTGGAACAACCAATACGTCACGATTCTTCTCCCGGTTGTCCCCCCGATGACCGCCCGCGCAATCGCCAATTGTGAACCTCGGCGTCTGTTTGCAAATCTGCTGATACTCCTTCTGATACTCGTTGAGCTTGGTCACCGTATCCCTCTGAGATTTCTGTTTCAGCCTTTGTGATAGTTCGGATACCGGGAACCAAGATATTCCGCACACGACATGCTCCTCCAGAGTGTCGTAAACGAACTTGTATTGTTCCTAAAAGTAATATTACTACTTTAGTACGACAACATGTAAATGTTTACACTAACTGCGCTAGTGTTCGTGATTTATATGAATAGTTGCCTCGTTTTCTATGAGCCCCTTGCGAGATTGCCGCAATTTCTTGAGGTATCCAAACACGTCGAAGCAGTCCTCCTCCTCGGCCAGCTCTAAATTTGCGTCGATCGCTAAATATACACCGGAGCGTCCCCCGCCGTCGCTAAGAACGAAATAAATAAGTTAAACTCTTATAAACAAACAAATCATTGAAAAGCAAACTGTATGAAGTACTCACTTGCAATGAACTACCATAGGACCCGCCGACGGGTTGGTCGCTAGCCTCCTTCCCACAACGGCCCTTACCCGTCTTCTGAACTCAAGTAGCGCGTTGCTGAAGGGGCAAGTGTGCGAGTGCCATTGAGTATAATGAAACTGCAGAATGAAGCGCTCCTCCACAACAACCTGAGTGAAAATAAAACTACGTTAAGCGCGTTGAAATTTTTTAGAATTAATTACATTTATTATTTTTTCGTTAAAGCATCGAGAAATTTTGCGTTTTTTCGACGTGGCTACTGCCTTATTTTCTTTATAAACATTTAATTAAATTTCATTCATATTGATATAGTAGTATTGATATTTAAATTATTTTGAGTTGATGAAGTTTATTTGTTGAAGTAGGATAAAAAAATTGTCCATTATAAGTATAGGTGAAGGGTAATATCTACCTCCTTTTCGCTCTTATAAAGCCTGAATGTACGAATGTGGAAGTTCGCCAATTCCTCCTCTTGAACGATGCCAACACTGATATCCCCATAAGTTTCATCTTTCTCTTTGTTAGGCGGCCAGTATTGAACACACATAACCTATAAAATTGACATTTTAAGGTCATGCACTGTCTTTTGTATATATTGGTTAAAATCAAATAACCTTACAACATTTTGAAAAACATGCGTGACTAAAATTATTATTTGTAGTTATGTTATTATGTAGTTGTGAAATAATTTCAGCACGTTACCGTGAGGGGTAGTTTTTACTGCATCCAGTTTTCGCTAAAATGTACGAGTATGTTACCTTTATGAAGTCAAATGTTTTTGTGAGCATAACTATCGCCGCAGCACGCTCTTGCCAAATCATACGCCAGAAATCTACTACAGTCTCCTCGGTTGGCCCCTGCGTTACTATATATGCGTTCGGTTTTAATATACTCTGTGAACACGAAGAGAATTGCGTATGAGACAAGTTTGTTTTACGCTATACTGCGAAAAGTTGTATTGGGTGTGTGTAAATGAGTTACAAAATAATCAAGGCAGGGCTAAGACCCAAGCGCATCGATTTTTGAAGATAAATTTAGATGTTTCCTAAATTTAAAAATAAATGTAAGTATCTCCAGACAAGAGTGATTTTTTTTTGAGATAACACGTCTAATGAATAAATTAAAACTTACCAAGAGAAATGTCTCTAACCATTGATCATGAAGATAGAGACCAAAAGAAACATAATGTTTGAAAGGACCGAACGTATAGCTATACCATGTATCATGAAGGACTGTAAAAAAGTGTGTATCAGTGTTCGTTTTTTTTGATGGCACACTATTTGAATTATAAAGTTTTTTACTCCTTACTGTAGAATCACTAGACTAATGAACGATACCTTAGCCGAAGCCTAACGAATTAATTGCTAGACTTTAGCTTAACTGCTAAAGTTTCTCATTATATTTTCAAATCTTTTACCAATAAGCTCAGACCGCAACTTTCGCGCGGCTCACAAAGTGACTCCTTTAATTTTTAACATTTTAATTTACACTCAAATCCCTGGGTAGGTATTTTAAAATGGGTTTACCACAGTCAAACATCATTCATTGGGTGGTTTTATTATAATAATACTAGCCAACCTGACAGACGTTGTCCTGTTCACAAAACTTAAATCACACAACTAATAAATAAAAAAATTAAAAAAAAATTGTAGTGGACCGAGTTGTGAATCTAAACCATTCTCGAATCGACCTGAAGACAAACAAAAATTTCACTAAAATCGGTCCAGCTGTTTGGGAGGAATTCGGTGAAATACACACGCACGGAAGAATTATATTTTTATAGATAAAGTCCAGTTTTTCTTAGTTAAAAAAAAAAAACAATTATATGTATGAAGATTTTTGGGTTTAAAGAAAGACTGAGTAAGTCCAGCGCCCAATATACATTTGAAAATATTACTAATTATAAAATTTCCAAAAATGTTTTTTAAAACTACGTTCAATTTATTGATTGCCTTTCAAAAACATTTTGTAGTGAGAATTCCCAAAAGTTAATATCACTTCTAAAAAAAGTTATTTACTTTAAAATAATTTCTATCCGACCATCTTCGATTCAAAGAAGTTGCCGTTGGTGCAAATTGTGTGAAGTAGTGTGGGATAGGGTTCCCTGAAGAAGCGAGAATATCTATCTATGTAAGGTGGAAAGAGATGTCGCAAGTGGTATAAAAACCTGGAGAGCACTTTTCTGGACTAGGTTTTGAAGAAATGATAACTTGTGGCGGAGGCTCTGTTGTGCTTAGCTTCAGTAATATTTTTTTGGATCATATGGAGTTATTCTTCATAGAAAACGATACGCTCATTAAATATCGTTATAGATTGGCAGTACTGATTCCTAATCCAAACCGCATTCGGCTCTAGGAAAGTTGAGTTTTCAATTTTTATGGATGTCAACGTTCACGCCTATATAGCCACCTATGCAAACCATCAGAGAGCTTAAGAATGTCCCTTTTTAATATTTATTACATTACAAATTATGTGCCCATCGATCCGATTGGCGTAATAGATAGTAAACCTCTATCACTTATGACACAGAGTGTGAGGTCGATCGCCACAATTACAAAAATATTGTGTGGTACGAACATATTGTTTTTCTACTGTCTTGATATTTACATATCTATAACATGTTAATAATGTCTCACGAAAGTTTTAATAATTGTATTACTCAAAATCATTAAACAAAGTAATAATCATAGAGTTGGTTTTTACACTAATAAGTAACGGATTTACCAGAGAACGTAAAATTAAAATAGACTAAAACATAGGTATCTCTATTTGTATGTACTATTTTACCTTAACTTTTTACTTACATCTATATAGGAAGCGTTAATGTAATCGGAATCTGGTTCCCGATCTACTGTATCCAGCACCACTCTGTTGTAGTCATCTAAATAAAGTAATATGTTAAAATTTGTTGCTACATCTGCAATATTTAATATTAAGTAGCGTTACGGAATACAATTCTACATCACATAATCCGAATCATGATAAAAAACTGGTAGTCGATAAATTATTAAGAAATCTTTGCTGTAATGAAAATGTACAATAAAGTTGAGATGAAATTAAAAATCATTAAAGGATTATCTGTAGGAAAATTTCAAATATGAATACGGTACATGGTACGGTTAAACTCACGAGGTTTAACAAATTATCATTTATTAATTTTTACTTGAAATTATTACAATCGAAAAACAATATTAGACGCAAATATCAACACAGGGTTTGGATTATATTATTTCAATTTGTATTAAAAATAGAATCTTGCACGAATAATCAAATGCATATTACTTACACGGTGTAACTTTCTGGTTCTGGTTTTTATGTTGGTTTGTTTTTTTTGTTGCATGTCGACAAGAATGTGTTTCTACTTTTACTGCGGTCTGCAAGTAGAATAATGTTTAAAATTTCTGTTGATTCCGTGGCGCAGTTGCTTAGGTATTGACTTATGCGTTGGGGGTAGTGGGTTGGATTCCCACACGGGACAACTATTTGTGTGACCCACAGATGTTCACGTGAAATTTATGTTTGTGAAACATCACGCAGGATGTTTTTATTGTAAAGTAAGGGCAATGTTAACAAAAACAAGCAATATTGTTACATAAAACGTATTTATTTTATTATTTGTTAGCGCTTTTCCGTACACTAAATAGACTGTTTTTGTTAGGAAATAAATATTATTAGTAATTCAATATCGTACCTGAAACTCTAGTTTGTAGAGAACGGGAAATTTTCTTCTCTGCTCGCAGAGCTTTGGAAAGTTCTTCAACTCTACGGGGCGGTCTGGTATCGTCTCGGATATTGAACCGTTTTCGTCCGCTGTAGAAAATATTTACAACTCATTTACAAACATCGTGGAGAGTCAACGTTAGCTTTTCATGTATAGAAGGTGGTTTAGTAAACTTTTCACAAACTCAACTACACTATGACCACAATAGAAACAAGTACGGGCTACAGTTATCTTGTTTTTCTCATCCGTCGGCTTAATATTTCTAAAAGTAATCCTTTCTCCGTCGATTAGCAGAGAAGTAGCTTAGTGGGTTAAATTTAAATCCCCCTTTTAAAGCGAACTCGGCTGCTGTGGTCGTGGATAGAAATATTGTTTTAAAATATTGTTTTTAGTAAATCATTTTATAATCTTCTTTGTGCATTAAATTAGTTCATTCATTATGGACGAGGTGTATGTTTTTCTAAATCCTTATAATTGAAGTCAGGGTGAAGAAATGAATGATAATGAATGACGACGATGAATGATAATAATTTACGGATGAGGTATAGTGTATACTGTTTTAAACTCGTATAATTGAAGTCAGGATGAAGAAATGAATGAGTTCAATTGATTCAGTCATTCAAGTGTCTTGCTGTCGATTCACTATTCCTTGGTCAAGGCGACATTTTTGAAGTTTGGAATTGTCCTTATCACAGAAACTAATGAACAACACTAAACTATATAAGATCATAACGAGAGCGTTTTATATAAGCACATAACCATACCTATATTATATTAGACAAACGCATTCCGTGTTGTTGACGTCACACGAATGCAAATAAAAATTTCTCCCGCATCGACGCCGCAACGGGAACACGAGGTTGATTTATATGTTTATATGTTGACATACAAAAGATAAAGTCGGCAACTTTATAACATCCACGGTTGATGATAAAAATACCAATATCTAATATCCGCCGCTAATGACGTCGAGGTGCGGAACTCTGCGACAACACATTTCGCGTGCATACGTCATTTGGCACGTTCCTAAAATCGTCATAACTTTACAATCATACCGCGACAATGTCTTTGTGTTATTAGGTATTTTCCATTTATACAGTTTAATTAGTTCATCAATTACCGATTTCTTGCGAACGGGAGTTGTCATGCTTTAATTTATGCCCATTATATTACTTTATACGATTATATGCTTTTATAATTCCAGTCAATGTATTAAAAGATATTTGTTTGAAAACCTTTATGCTTTATGGATCCACAATGTATAGATAACAGAACTTAGCTGTCAAGGTTAAAATGGAGCTTATCGCCCATCCGGATTAGGGTCGAGTGATAAATAAAAGTGGCTTATGATAAATGAAAGCTAAAAGTACTCGCGTATACCATAACCTATTTCTCGATTTTTCAAAAACGTATTAAATAATTTCTACCAATTGTACTACGAAAAAGACTTGTCGATTCTCACATACGCACATACGCCTCGCAATGCATTCTAAATTTAAACATATCTCGTAACGAAATGCAAAAATCCGTGACCGCTGCCAAAGTTCTTATGAATGGGAATAGTTGTTAAAAGATATTTAGAAAATCGTCATATGAAAAGTAGTCGGTTATAAATTAGTTCGCAAGCATTTCTTTATGGAGTCGGGTTCCTGTAACTGTATTGGGGCGGCTAATCTTCCGAAGTAACATGAACTAAAAAAGGGTGGCGGGAAGTAAGAGTATTGACACTTTTGCACTCATAATTCATATAGGTAACGATGCAATCGGGGATCGAAATTTAACTTTCCCTATACCAGTAATAAAACCATTACAGCCATGGTAAGCATTATTGCATGTTCAGTTTGAGTTTCACAACTACCAAGGAAATTATCACCTGCTGATTCAAAATATTTAACATTAAATGGATATTAAAAAAAATATTATTTTATCATTAATTAATAGGGAAGATAAGCGTTTAGTGGCACCAATTCGGTACATTGTTTTTTATAAGCGTTGGTTGTGTTTGTGAGGGTGTACTTATTTTTATATTTATTGGATTACTTTTATAGGGATGCTATATAATTGGTTGATTTTGTTGTCATTATGTTGGATGACATGTGATTTTGGAACGTTGCGACTTGATTTTATATCATAACAATTTTTTTTTAATTCGTCAAGCATCAAAGTGACTAGTTGTTAAATATTTATTATTCCAATAATTTATAATCAATCGTACGGTACTATTTTCATATAATAAAAGAAGTTTTTATATAATATTATAAATATTTCAGTACGTTTACATTCTTGACGATAGTGGGAAATGTAAATTATAAAATATTTCACAAAGATTAAAAACACGCCCATGAAATATATAACATTGAGTTGAATTCCTCTTTACAAATTATATCGACAAAGAGGCTTCTGTTGTACAAAGAAGCAAGTATGAACATACTTATATAGGCGGAACATCGTAGAATATTTTGGAATATGCAGAGATGAAAAATATTTCGTATCGTCTATGTTGAATGACGAAATGGCTAAATTTTTTGTGGCAAAACGCTTTTACCCATCGAAACTCTTAGATATTTCGATTGTTTAATTGTTAATATTCGTTAATGTGCCAAATGTGGAAAGACATCTCATACTTATGAATTTAATGAGCTTATGACGTGATTATCAACTAGTCTACCAATATCTGCATTAATCTCTGTCGAGTAAAGGAGACTAAACGGCAAACATTAGTAGTCTTGTAAATATTTTATTTGGAACACTTTGAGAACTGTAAATTCAATATTTAAAATTCGAATTATGTGAGAAATAAGTTCCAAATTAGCGCTGTACTCATAACCATATCACATTTATAAATATTTATTTATGTAGGAAATAAAGAACACTGGCAGCTCGAATAGTCAGACACAATGCAAATTTCTATAAAGAAAAATGGAAATCTATAGCTGAATTAATAGTCCACTGGCGTGAAACGACAGGTTCTGATGTCACTATGTAAAATAATGCTGCCATGTTTATTGCAATGGTGATGATTTAGCTCATTTGCACAAGGTTAATAACTCGAACGACACATCGCAATGCGCCGCCATCTTGTTTGTCATTCGGCTTCAATATCTAAACTGTGGTTTGAATGTTTCTATTGTTCGTTAGCAAAACTCAGCCAGGTTGGACATAAATATATATTCACATTAGTAATAGACACGGTAATTAATATTGCTTTTTAAAGTCGTATTAGTTTTTAAGAGAACTAATGATAAAAATTGGTATATTTTAAAAATTGCTAGTATCAAAAATGATATAAATTGTGATGTCATAAAATATTGAATATGTCTAAGGATGATTATTCTAAAATGTAGTTAAATTAAAAAATCTGTGGATACTGTATTAAGTCGCTTATAATATCAAATAAGTGACAAATCATGATTGTATGAGTATAAAGCCCTAAAATCTCAGATCGTATAAATTTGAACGTGATTTTTGAACATTCATCAGATATAATTATAACAACAAAGATAGATTACGCCGGCCTCTATAAATAAAAGCGCAGTGAAGACCATTCTCATTTCGTCCAAGAATTTATTTTTATCTAGTTCAAAGGCTTCCTCTACCACTCATCGATCCGGAAACATAAAAGAAGATAAAGCACGTTCAGCTAACCAACGTCGTTCGCACTCGCTCTCGAGCTTTTAGTCTTTGTATGTAGTCTTAGATTTTAATTTGCCGGGTTGCTTCCGTCGTATCTTACGGAGGAAATTAATTATACGAATCGATAACGCTCCCTTTCTCGGATCACCTGCAGCGTTCCCTTAAGTAAAACGTACTCTACGCTCGTAAGACGAAAAAAAAAACCCGCAATTCTACATCTGTGTTTACCGATTTCGAAACCAAAAGGAATCTTTTACGAAGTTTCTTTTGTCTGTTTATTAAGAGAATTATTTTATAAGTAATATTTAAAATTTTATTACTACTTAAAAAAACGAACATTTTAATAGTATTTCCTTTTTAATATAATTTTGAATTATTACTTTACGATTATTATATTGCAGTTTCCCGTTTGTGTCTTCCGGTTTTAATTGTTTTATCAATAATTAACACACTTGCCCTTTTTGTAATTGTTAAGATAGTTTTGAAGAATATCTATTAAGTTAATTATTATGAAGTTTTAACTGTTAACTATTCTTTAGTTCATGAGGATTGTCTGTAACGAGACGAGATAATTTGGTAAATTAATTTTCTATGCACTAAAAGCTTTGTTAATCGGCTGTGACTAAATTTGTTACGTACAGCTCCACTACAAGCAGTATTTGTTAGATCTAAAACAAGTTCTAAAACAGACGTACACAAGAAGCGGTAGCAATAGTTAAGTCATAGTGTTTTTAATTGTAATCGCATTTTTCGTAAATTCGTAGCTTACGATGTTTCGGAACAATTCAATTTGATATAGAGAAAATTTGATGCAAATTCCATGGACGCTACTTTTATATCTGCTAATATTTTTAGAAAAAAAAGTAAAAACGTTAAAGATTTTCCTTTGAAATTATAGTAATTTTCATCATAGAGTTCACCTCAATGTTTAAACCCAAAAGTTTCCTCATAATGTGTGTACGTTTCCAACAGACGTTCTACAAAGGCAGCGAGTGGAAGCATTAGTTCTAATCTAGCGTTTATATTAAAGCGCTTTTGATCCCTCTAAACACAAATAAATTCGGCACAAACCCGTCAACTTACTCTCTGGTTTAAACGTCACTCGGTCTGAAATAATAAAACCAAAAATTAATCCTTTGTCGGCATCGAATATTTTTACCTCCCTCTAAATGCGTTCGTTAATATTGCTTAATTTGCTTAAAGATTATAATTATACTACTTAGGTCCGTAAAAAAGGAAAATTACTTTGGTAGAGTCAATCGACGTTCTTGAGAAGATACTATTGGAAAGGGACAATTATACTAACAATCTTTCAAGAGTAAGAAAAATAATAGTTCAGCTACCACTTCGTAAGAAATATTTCTTTCGCCTTTTTGTTATTGATATACGTGATTTTATTATTGTGAATATTTCCAGTTTTCAACAGCTTTGGTCGTTTATTATACCAGAATAAAACTTGACTTACCTGTTGTATTGGAGTTGTCCGGTACATGAAACAAAAGATAACAATTTTTTAATAAGTTGGAAATAATATTTTTTTACAGGAGTACGCTGTTTGCTTGCCGAGTAAGCAGGGGATTCGCCTCACAGCAGTTATATTGCAGCCTCTACATATATCAATCATTCAACACGGCCGACTACCGTAATGTCCCGGGTATTCCCCAACGAGCCGGTCTATTCATTCAGCAGTTATTGTGTGGTGTTAACACAGTGAATATTGTATTTATAACATAATATTAAAGGCGTCAAGGACTTGTAAAATTGCACAACAACAAACTCCCCCGGTATCTTTGTTTCCGGACGTTCTAATTTATTCTATCCATGCGATCGGAGTTTAAATATCGGTGCCTGTTACGATGAAACTGGTAATTGCAATTTTAAGTGCTGATTTAGTAGATGTTGGACATTAATATTATCATCATCATCAGCCGCAAGACGTCCACTGTTTTCATTTGCATCCACCCAGCGATTGCCCGCGACTTTTATGATGTCGTCAGTCTACCTAGAGGGAGGCCGGAGGGACGTTAATATATAGGCTATTAATTAAGTGTAAATTTTGCATATTTTCTACAATAATCCGATAGATGATTTTTATATCAGTTGATTTGAAGATACACTAAAGATTTCTTATGCTTGTGCATTCTCTGATAAATAAATAAATTGTAACAATATTAAAACGAAAACTGTTAAGACGCTGAAAAAAAATTTGTGAAGACATAATTTAAAAATCATATATTAAATAACATCATAAAATACTTAGAACAGCCAATGTTATTAAATGGGTTTCATATAATATATCCTTAAAATTACACCAGTTACGCGTCAATTTAACATTGGTCATACACAGTTTAAGTATATTATATATTAATACCTGAAGCCAAAACTTTGTACCCTTTACGAATATTGCGCGGACGGAGGAGTATGGAAAGTCCCAACCTTAAAGTTTAGAGTGCAGGCCGAATAGTAAAGTAAAGTAACAGCCCATACATGTCCCACTGCTGGGCAAAGGAGTAAGGTGTATAGAGGAGGATACAGAGGGTATCAGGGCATAGTCCACCACGCGGCCCCACTGCGAATTGGCGGACCTCACATATCTTCGAAATATTTTTTTTATATTATTTCGAAAATATGTAGATTTCCTCACGATGTTTTCGTTCACCGCGGAGCACGTGATAAGTCAGCGCATAAAGTTAAAAACTTTATTGGTGCGGGCACCGGGGATCGAACTCAGGTTGCTCGAGTATATTGAATTAAAGGCGAGCGCCCGGACACTGAGCTATCACGGCAGAGTGCTAATATTTATTTAATTATGCATAAAAAAACGTTACACACATTACGATGTATAATTAATTATGGCCGAATTTCAACCACAGGGCGACCACTGGTTTTAATAATTGTCCATTACGGATTATATCGCGGCTAGTTTTGATCTTAACACCTGACCTCAAAGGACGGACGTAATAATTGAACAAACGAGCTAGCGGTTCGCCTGATGTATAACCGCACTCACTAGACGAAACGAAGAAGTATAACAATTTCAATACACGCCGGACTTCGGTTAGATCGTGGTACCTACTTCCCTGCCTATTCATGCAACAGCGAAGAGTGTTGCGTACGCCTACCACAGGTAAAATATAACATGTAGGATCTGCATCAATTAAGAAATTAAACATCTCGACACCACAAACATCTAAGTAAACGTGTTATATACATAGCATCGAGTATTGTTCAATAGAACGTTATTTGACAGACTTAAGAAACGTCTTCAATATTAGATCTCTCAAAAATGTATTCATACATAAGATAATCTCGGAATTATTTTGTAAACTAAGAGTATCTTCCACATGAATTCCATCAAGTGAAACATAATTCTCTTCCAATGTAAAGGCAAACATCCTGCTAACGCTATAAAATATAAAGTCTTGTTTATTTGAAAACCGCTGCGGAATTTATGAATAAAATACAATCGCGTCCGGCTTCGGACTTCGACGATCGAATTATACCGTGTTTGTGTTTTTAACCTCGGTTTTTCTTAGCGGCTCGGGTTCCGCGGCTCTATATTGCAAAGCGAATTTCGCGCCGCTCATTGTCTAGAAGCCGTCTTAATATTAAACCTCGAATAGATTGAATGGGCTTCGACTGACCTCGTTTTTGATTGTAGCCTCCTCGCTCGGTTGTGCGTTAAGGCCTACGATTATCTTAAGGTGGGATTTATTATTTTATGGTTCTAAACTCTGCACTTAAATGGAAAAGATATTACGTCCAGGACTTTAACCACTATGCTAAACGGCTGGTTGCCACACTGACGAAAAGCAATGCTTGACGCATTTATTGTTCTTTCACAGGAGACAAACGGTTTCAAATATCGTTTTACAACGATAATTCGAAGTTGAAAGAGATAATATATTTTCGTCCATTTATACAAATTTAAATAATGTTAAATAAAAACAAGCCATTAATAATTTATAATCAGTAATAATAACAGTACTAAATAACAAGTAATAAATAACAATTCTCCTTTCTTCAGCATTGTTTTTTTAATAGGGCTTACTGAATGTTTTTGTTTTTATCAATCTCGGCGCTGGCATTAAAGAAATGATTGATACATAAATATGTCGATATATATGAGAAAATGAATATGTCTGTCAGTTAATTTTAATGTTTTTATTTTTTTTACTCAATTATTATTTAATTTTACTCTTCCAGCTTGATGCTTGGTAGACATTGTACATTAATAATAAAGTTTTTGAATTAAAAATTTGAGCACCTATTACTATCACCTAATTTTGGATATTAAAAAATCCAGTTTTGAACACTGTGCTGCAATTTGTCGCAGTTAGTAACTATATATAAAGACGAAACCCTCGTTTGCAACTTCGCTGTCGAAGCCAATATATGAAAGAATTCTTTGGTGAGAAATGTAATTGCTCTAGTCGATCTGCCTCTGCCAAAAATATTTCTTTCACTAACACCGTATGCCAGAAAATCCCAATCATTATTTCCAAAGTAAAAACGTGTTGAGAAATATATGGCGTGCTCGTAAAACTAATTACAATTAAATTTAGAAAACATGGGGTCTTAAATAAACACTTTTGACAAAGGATTTATCATTTTACAAAAGTAATTGTGATTACTTTTGTAAAATGAAATTAGTAGAAAGGCATTAAAGCCTATTGCCTTTCTACTTTTAATAAAGTACACTATGAACAAGTTTTTAGGCATAATAAAAATAAATTAGTAAAATCAGGCTTAAAAATACATCTTCACAAAATGAGAACTAGTTAACAGTCGTTATAATGATATACTTACACATTTTATATGGTTAAAAGAGATCTTGATATTAATTTATCTGCTAGTTATAATACATACTAAAATGATAATTTATTGTATTTATGCGATTACACATTATAAATGAAACTAATTTTACGGATTTCTCGCGTTCATTTTTTTTTAATGAGATCCCCTCTGCATACATCAGACACAAAATTAATAATTCAAAAACTGACGGTAGCCCAGCTGTCCCATGACCATGAACGCTGTAAAGGGTTCGAAACGTCGGCAATTAAAATTAATTTATAATATATACTAACATTTAATTATTTCTGCGTATTCATATAGAAAGATATAACTCGAGCATTTCAGATCCTGTTAATTACAGAAACATCGTTGCGCGCCAAGCTACTGTTGTCTCAGTTATATCTACTAGCCAAACAGAATGAAAAGATAAGTAAAATTAAGCGAAATGACCCGACGGCGGAGGGTCGCTAAACAAACAGCTTTCCTGTATAAAAGGTTACTCTAAAATTATCTTCATGCCGTCGACTTAATTATAAAGGATTTACAAAAACCATCCCGCCATTTCATTTATGCTTTCAACTCCGACGACGCCAATAACCTGTAGCAGACGTTTCGTAATTAAGACGACTGTCGTTCTGGTCACAATTTGCCTTTTGTATCTGATTTTGTACGAATTGTTCCAACTTAGGTAAAAGAATTTAAATATGTAGGTTATTAAACCAACATATTTACACGCAGCCGTAATAGTAATAATTATAGGTTGATTAATATGTTTAATAATTTAATCGATAACTGTTCGAGCGCAACGCCTGCTCGTTTACGACGAGCAATTAAACGCATAGCGTAATTAGTTTTAATTAGCTGTAAGGTCTCATTTTGTCAAATTGCATGTGTCCTCTGTTCACCTTTGTTCGTCATTGAGGCAATACACATTTTTGAGAAGTCCCGAATTTTGAGTTTCCTTGAAAAATCCCTTGAAATCACCGAACATTTTGGTCCATAATCGAACCGGATTGCGGAAAATATATGAAGAATTATCAAAAATCGGCGAAATTGGATTTTTATTAATTGTGGAGACCGGACGGGTAGTACATATAATAACACCCAACACTCGCTCAGGTATTATTTAATCATAGCATTAAGGATTGATTGTAAAGGTTAGTACTATTTAACTTGAGGATTTATTTGTTTAGTTTAAATTATGTATCCTATGAATAGTTTCTAGGATTATCATTTATTTAATGATAATTTTTTGAAAATACGATTATACGTACTATTAGTAGGTACTAAAGTACAGTAGTTATTTACTA